TGTTATGGTGGTATGACGTCTGTCGATAGGCGGTGGTCAGCTTCAGATTATGTCTGGCCAAAGAGATTTAATATTGAGATATTTTTTACTTGCCGGTGAAGTGAAGGAGACGAACCGTTTCACCGTTATTCTTCAAACTGTGGCTCAGAGAATAAGACAATGAATATTACTTTAAATCCAGTTAGCAAGCCACGTGGATTTATTGCTAAGGTGGAATAGTCAAGTTAGATAATCAATGATTCTAAGTCAATGGGGGCCAAATTTTGGATTTAAGTGAAAGTTTGTACTTTTTTACGAGACAAAAAAAAGCTGGGGCCAGAATTGTCACTCGACGTAAAGTTGGTGCTTTTTTACGGGACAAAAAATAGTTCGGGCCAGAATTGTCCATCGACTTAAAGTTAGTATTTTTTTACGGGACAAAAAAAAGTTCGGGCCAGAATTATCCCTCGACCTAAAGTTGGTGCTTTTTTTTGGAATTAACCCCAAAAATATCGAAAAAAAGTGAGTTTTTTGTTGTATATACACTTACTACTCACGTTATGGATGGCCATTCCTGACCGAAACCAAAGACGCTAAAATCAGATACATAATATCCAAAGAGTCAAGAAATAAATATCTGTAAGTAGATCATTGACACGTTTTCTAATCGTTTAAGAGTATTGTCAGCAATTTGATGTATGTAGAGCATAGACCAATTGATTTATGGTCAGAGTTTACGTACCGCAATGTATGAATACAAATAGCCCGTGAGTAGTGACCTGCATATTGTAGTCAAAGATTTTTTTTTGGTCGAAAAAAAATTATATTCATTATTCATAAGGATACACGAGAAGCACATAGATTTCATGGCAAAGCAAATCAAAACAGAGCACAACCCAAACTACTGTAAAACAAAGCCAAATTCAGAAAACAAAGATGATCAAATAAGCACTAGCAGAGTTACACACACTCGTTTCACAAAAATGGATATGTTAAGCAAAACAATCGATGGCCGATCACAGGATCTCGAACCTTCGTTAGTGATGAGCACATGTCAAAAATTTCTTCTCCAATAACTACGGCGTTGCTAGTTGGTGGTGCGCGCATAGTTTTGGCTTCCTCTACACCATCATCGTAAGGAGAAAACCAAAATACGCTGAACAAACATGACCTATCTCTAAAAAAAAGCACTAACTTTACTTTGAGTGACAATTATGATCAAAACTTTTTTTTATCTCATAAAAATCAGAAATTTTTACTTAAATCCCAGGTCTGGCCCGAAAAATTTGAAAATTTCACACCAAAGAGGCCAGATTTGGGACTATAGTAAAAGTTGGTGCTTTTTATTGACATAAAAGAAAAATTCGGACCAGAATTGTCACTCAAGGTAAAATTGATGCTTTTTTTTTTTAAATTAGCCCGAACAAACATAGGTCTAACATTTGGAAGAGCAACTCTTTGTGTTCAGTGAGACGCGAGAGCTCCTGCAATCACCATTGAAGATAGAGGCATATGACCTGTATATTGACATAGCAGAGGGCTATCAATCCCTAGAAGCATATTTATTAAATTCCCAAATCTAGACTGAGAGAGGATAGCACCCAGATCTAGAACTAGATAGGGGGAGTTCAAACTCTCAAATAAAACTAGTCTGGGAGAAGAGAGCTTCCAAATCTAAATTAAGAGGAGAAAACACAAGAAAAGAACAACAAAACACAAACAAAATCAATAAGAGAGGGAGGGAGGGTGAGTTTATTCAATAGACTTGTCAAAATGGGTAATAAACTCATTTCTTAAACCATATTTGATATTTGATGGGTTGAATTGTTATATGAGTTAGTTATATTCAATAAATAGGTTTAAAATGGTAAAATCGAAAATAATATGGGTGTTAAATGGGTTCACAATTTACTTAAATCTAATTCACTTCTATGACTCTCTCTTCACTCTCTTTTGCCCTCACTCGATCTCAAGCTCGCTCACTTTGTTCTTTTAACTCAGTTTGGATATGATTTTTCCTAGGTTCGATTAAATATGGAAGTCTTTTAGCAATATGAGTTGGGCCGGGTATGGGTAAGGTATGGGTTGAGTCGAGTATGGGTCACTATATTCGTATTGATTGAAATGGATCAAAATTGGTTACATGGGTGAATTTAGGTCAGATAATTTTTTACTCGACTCAAATCCGATCCGACTCACCCGTTTGACAAGTCTACTACTCACATCATGGATGACCCTTCCTGATTGAAACCAAAATCATGAAAAGCAAATACATAATATACATAGAGTTAAAAAAATATATTATGTAAATAGATCATTGACACGTTTTCTAACCGTTTGAGAGTCACATGACATCCCAAGGGTTTCTATTGCAGTGCTCTCTCTCAATATCCTGCCTCTTTTCCTATTCCCTTGTTATCTCGTTAAGGTGATTACGTCCAAAAATTCATGTTTTGCATGTATAAGGACCGGCTACAATCGAGGGGAAGTGTTAAAATCTCTACAAGTACATTGGTGACACGTTTTCTAACCATGTAAGTTTTTGATGCAAAACGATTTATCTAGCACAAGTCAAACAGATCAATAGATAGTTGTTATGACATCACTCAATTAATCTATGTCCAAAACCAAATTAGGCTTAGAGTAACCAGAGATGAGGGTAGGCTTGAGCAGTAATGGGTTTTCTCAAATCATGTGAAAAGATGAATGAAGGGTTCACACTACATTAAGAATTAGAGAAAAAGATAGATGATGGTAAAAAATACCAAAATGGGAGGTAAAAGGGGATAATAGAATTAATTTGAAAAGTCTAAAGCTAGATCTATCTTGTCCTTAACTTAAAGATTAAGATATTGCGCCAACTTGGTTGAAATTTTCACTTGTGATCTGTTGGGTGAGGGGAGGACCCAACTGGTGTAGCTTCGCAGCAAGTGTTGGGCAGCGTGGGCACAAAAACAGCAATTCCGTTCATTATTAATTATTAATCAAGCAATTGAAAATAGTAAGGCCTGCAAAACTTTCAGTATAAGAATGGAATAAGTTTGCTGAATAGATCAAAATGAGGATGCAGTGGTTGTCTTCCAACAGGAGGACAAGATGTTATTTAAGTAATGCCATGCCACTACGCCAAACACCCATACATTGGATCATAACAAGCACAGACTAGGATTCCCAGGGTTACAAGCAATGTTAGGCTATAAGTTAGATCGATGGGAGGAAACGACAAGGATAAACATCGAAACATCATGCCACTAATGTACTACATTTAGCGTTATATATCAGAATTTTAAGGCCTGTCGAATTTAATCGATGAGTGAAAAATCACATAATATATTGTACATAGACACTCAAATCAAACTGCTAGCCGTCAAATTAGACGAGAGATTTTGGATCCCTTATCAAGTCTTTACAGAATGAATAGACATCCAAGAACGAGCAAATCGAGAATCATAACGTTTGAATAACACAACAAGTGGGCAGGGCGATCCTCGATCATTAGTAAATTGGTAATACATTATAACTTGAGACATAAGTACATAAAATCGATTCATCAGATAATGGAGTAGACCGTAACATGGAGGCAAATCATGTTACTCATGAATTCATCTTGGCATGTCGTTCTTAGAATCTTCAACGCTAATTTACTATAAATGCGTAATCAATGTATTCGACGTTGCATCGTCTCCGGAACATGAATACGAATATAAGAGCGGAATGGAGTGTTATGGACGCGGCAGAATCGGTTGTCGGGCTGCTGGTCTTACAATTCCCGAGGGGGCTCTCGATGCCCACGTGTCCCTTCTGTTCATCTTTGCATGGCTGCTGACTCACTCCAGTCCCTCCCACATCTTGCCACGTTTCCTATTAAGCTCGTGCCACTGTCCACGTCGTCCTATCGTTCTCTTCGCGACTGGCTTCCGGACACGTCATCTGCTCGTTGAAGTCGAGCACTTTACGTGCGAATAAGCACATAAAGAAAAGCTTAGTTCGATGCCACTAAAGCACACCGGTAAGGTTAGGTCGTTTTCGTGCTTAGGTGGGCTTTCTGAAATCTTCTACGAGTATATTCACTTTTAGGAAGCACTTTTTGCACCGTTTGCCGAAATTGGAAGATGCAATTATTCAGTTATAAAGTTGGGTATTAGGTATCCTCCACATAAATGTGGTCTCACGAGCTCGCTCGCTCACTCTATCTTTTTTTCTCAAATAATTTTTGCCATAACCAATTCACGAGTTGCTTCAATAAATTGGCCAAAAAGGCAAAAGTAAACCAAAGAAAACCATGGCATTTATGAGCAAAAGTGACCGAGAATTGATGACCATGTCAGTGCATGAATCTTGTGATGGTTAAAAGATTTGCTAGATTGAGTGTAAAGTTACCTGCATCAACGAGAACATATGTCGGATAATATTCATTTCCCGTTACATGTTAGTGAGATATTGGCGAGTTCAATTAGTTGCCTCACTTCTTGTTGTTGTAGAATACAAGATTCGGTAACACGGGGGTTAATGAAAAATTCAGGGCCAATTTATAGAGATTTTTGCAAATGTTTCACTTGGTAGGGGTCCATGCATAGGTTAATTCGCGATGGCCAACATTATCGTGAACTTTTCGTTTATCTTTTCCATAATATTTCAGGGTCTTCCGACTCAATAGGCTCGTGGTTAAATAGCTCGTTTGAGTAAGATAAGACTAAAGTCGGTCTCATAATTAGGGTTTTGTAGTGGTTCCCACTAATTAATAAAAACGCGGTTTATATAACTTTGAGATAGAGAGAGAGGGAGAGCATCATTACTCATGAGCGTTCGAAGCAAGGAGGGGCACATACATTACAACCTGTCATCCATCACTCCCAGCCTGGCTTGCTCTTCCCACAGATCGTCACAAAATCTTCCAAAAACAATTAATTGTCAAAGCAACATGGTAAAAAATCCAACGTAGCGTCACTGTACAGTAATCTCCTCCCTATTTATACATTCCCCTGCCCGGCCTCCTTCCTCTCCATCCTCAAACTTCTCCCTCTTTCTCTCTCTAGAACAGCTCATTCGCCGAGCTCTCTCTCTCCCTCTCTCTCTCTCTCCCGCCATTGCCCATTTGACTTGGCGAGCTCGAGAGGAGACGTAGACCGTCAATGGGTATCTGCAGTTCCTGCGAATCCACCAGCGTCGCGACGGCGAAGCTCATCCTGGTGGACGGGAGGCTCCAGGAGTTCTCGTACCCGGTCAAGGCCTCCTACGTCCTCCAGAAGAATCGCGACTGCTTCATCTGCAACTCCGATGAGATGGACTTCGACGACGTCGTCTCCGCCGTCGCCGCCGACGACGAGCTCCTCCCCGGCCGCCTCTACTTTGCCCTGCCCCTCAGCCGCCTGAAGCGGCCCCTGCAGGCCGAGGAGATGGCCGCGCTCGCAGTCAAGGCCAGCTCCGCCCTAATGAGGAGCGGCGGCGACAAATGCGGGTGCCGCCGGAAGTCGGTATCGCTGGCGTGGTTCTCCGACGAGGAGAGCAATAGCTGTAGGGACGTCGCGGCGGCGGCGGCAGCGGCGAGCGGCGACGGCGGCAGGAGGGATGGGCGGGGTAGGAGGAGGAGTTTCACGGCGATGTTGAGTGCGATCCCCGAGTAGGGAGGGGGCATTTTTGGAAATATTTTTAGGTTATGGAGGGTGTAAATATAGAATTAGTGAGTTTCCACTTTTTTTTTTGGCTGAATCTTTAATTAATCTGTAGAGTTGTTCCTGAAAATGTGATTAATGAGGAAGAGAAGGGAAGACCCTTTGGACAATTTCATATATATTTTTTATTTTTCATGCATAATTTAGTTTCTAAGTTTCTAAATATAAGTTAAATTAAATGGTAAGTAGGTAATGAACCAAACAAGAACCTTGACTTGCTGCGTACGTTAATGGCTTCGAATTCAAGATAAGATTATTCTTGGAGAGATTGGAGATAAGCTAAGGTAACCACAAGGTAATGCACAAATTGAAATGTCACCAACACACTTGATATCATTGGATTATTTCACGTGATTTATCTACCGGTTGATTTATTAGTTTAAACTGTCGGATCAGATTTTATGACATGAAATCGAAGTGAAGTTCTGCTCCAATTTATTTAGCATATTTGGTCTCCAATTCATTAAATCTCACGTGTTGCTCTACAAAAGTCATTTCTTCACCTATCGGTTTGAGATTTTGGGTAACATTCTAATGCATATAACTATCTTATACTAATTACAATTCTAAAAATGGTGCCTAGCAGTAAGATGTCACAATATTTCATACGCCCAACTTTTAATGCGGTGTAATTTCGAGATATCTCTTTTCGATAATGCATTTTACGACACGACATAATGCGGCTACGACTAAAAAATGTTGATATTGAGTAGCAATGAATAAGAAGACAATTTATCTATCCGAAAAGTCTTAGAAAAAAGATTGTGATCATGACATAACACTAACAAGGTCTTCCTCGTATGATCGAGTGACGACTTTATCTTTTTGGTTTTCTAGTTTCATAATAAGATCGAACGTAAGTACTATAGTTTTTTTTTTTTTTGATAATCCAGTGAATCCGCATACGTCGACAAATGAGGTAAATCCCTGAGGGGCAGAATATGTCTTCCAGCCACACACATGTGCACCTATTAAGTCACCCCGTGGCGCTCGGGATTCGAACACCCAACCTTTTGCGAGAGGAAGAGTGCCCTTTCCAGCAGCGCCACCCAGGCGGGCGGTACGTAAGTACTATAGTTTGTTTATGCTAATGTCAATTTTATATCTTTTTTATATGGTATGGCTGATTAGGGTGGAGCTCAGGCTACCTTTTTCAAATCCGAAAAGTGGCCCTGATTTCAAATCCAAAATTGTCATTTTTCCATTTATTTATTAATTATGTTGGTTTCCACGATGATTCCTGAGAGGTCCACAATAGAATTATTATATTCTTTTCCCCTCGTTTTATGTCCTTTTGGTTGGCACGTGTGTGTAAGCGGGTTGGTTGGAAAGAAGAAGAAGACGACAAGGGCGTGCAAGTGGCTCATGGATGGCTACGGTGGTGTCTCGGTTTTTGGATTAATTAGGGAAGAACTTTAGGCCTGACCACAAGTCTCCTGTAGATTATTAGCGTTCAGTTAAGAGTAATCTCAAAACGGGAGAAAAGTTGAAGTTCCCACATAAGTCTCTATATTCTGTTCAATTGATACAGTGACAGTAGACTCCACGAATACGTTCCTTAATTTAAAATGCTGATGCTCACATATCCTGTACCTCTAATTTCTTTTGTATCTTTATCTTTCTTGAAGAAAGGGAATACCTTCTACATTCTTTACATCCTGAGGATTCCGAGATCCAAATGAGACCCTGGATGAAACCTTTTAAGGACATGCTTAAGTCCTGACTAGGGAGAACTTAGGCTTACTACATTCCTAATAAAAATGCTAGATCTATTAAGATTGATTTGCGAAGTGATATGTTGGACTGCCATTGACTCTCGAACATGATATGTTAATTTAAAGAGCCGCTCACGGTCTAACACATCATTAGGTAAATCAATTTTGTAAACCGGCCTTGATTAGCAGCATTGCCTGCCGCCGCGGGTAAGATCAATAATTTTGTCAAAAGTGACAACGATGGAGCAGATAATGCAACTTGAGCACCCCGTCAGATGTTTCCAAGCTTCGGGCCAATACTCTTTGAATCTCGGATGGCTTATCCTTTTTCCTTGACGGTGAGCACTTAATTTGTTTTTTTTTTTTTAGGTGATGGAGTTTTTTTATTTTTTTTGGTCGAATTAGGCGATGGAGTTAGGTAGCAATAATATTCCGCTCTTGGAAGATGAAGTTGGGTGTGCACTGTGCACTGTGCATATAAAAAAGTTCAGAAAAATTATTAGATTAAGATCGTGAAATGTGAGCGAATGAATTTTTTCGAACCTTTTGATGCATAAATAAAGGAAATTATGCGCGCGAGAGATCGATGCCGTGATTATTTGATATGAGGATGCGTTAAAGTTGAATGTACAATCGTTTGTTTATTCCAAAATATCAAAATATTGAAGGACGAACGAAAAATTTCTTAAATCTAAAGGGAGGTCATATGGAATGGTTGTAAAGGAGATATTGCGATCATATCTCGAACGGTAAACAAGGAAAATAAACACGTTCGATTTCATAACGACCGTGGACAAGTTTAAGTTTCACAAGACTTTTCGAGAGATGGAGGGCCACATGAGGATAGTTCCGAGGCACTTGTTAACCTAGGACATCATAGGAAGTAAATTTCCAGACCTTTCACGTGAAATTTGTTTTTTTTTGGGGAGCATTCGTACAGGCTTCTTAGCTGTCGATGAGTCCGCATGCACTTAACTTCGGCAGGGCATCTCTACAGTGCCTTCCTCCTTGAGCTACAAGACAGCCTATCCTCCATAAATACAGTAATCGAGGACATTGATGATGTCTTATAGTTACGGCATGAATTGACGTAAAATCCTCCATTTTCGCATACCGTCGAGGGTAAATGACATGAACGCTTCTTAAACATTAACTCAATATATAATATGATTTTCAAACTTTAAATTTATTTATTGAGATTTTTGAATTTTAGCTCGATGTGTAATATCGTTCTTAAACTTTTAATTTGTTTAATGCAGTCTCTGAACTTTCGGTATATATTCAATTTAGTCCCTAGATTGTATGATAAAGTTTAATATTGCCCATGAATATAAATTAATGAAAGGATAATATTAAATATTTTCATATACTCCAGAGACTACATTGAACATGTGAACAAATTAAAAGTTCATGGGACGACATTGCACATTAAATTAAAGTTTATGAGATCATATTGCACATTCGATTAAAGTCTAAGGATCGTTTATGTCATTGTTCCTATCATTAAAGATAAGACGAGACGAATGCCAAGGAAGTAGGCCTCACACAGAAGAAGCTTCCAAGCGCCATGCACTGCACAGTGGATGATGCTGATTAATGAAGGATCTGAGAATGCCATACGCATCGCTTGGATCATCTGCAACTCACCGGGAAGAATCCTGCGGACATTTCTTGGGAGGGCTCCACTATAGTTTTCGAAGGGGACCAATCTCTTGTCGTTGCTCATCGTAATTATCCTGTAAAATTACGACACTTGGAGAAATTATAATAGAAAAATCCCATGTTTGGCACATTTTCCATGTCCCACTATCCCAATCTTATATAATTATTCATTCTTTTTTGCACGCCCTTTCCGTAAGGTGCATTATTGATGGTTCTTGTGTCACCTCGAGTGCAGAGAATAACTTTGGATCCAGCTGGTGTCCTCTCTCTCTCTCTCTCTCTCTCTCTCTCTCGCTCTCTTTTGTTCTTTTCCTCCTCCCAGCAACTTGTAGTACCCAACAGAAAGAAAGCCATATGAGCGCATGGCTCCATCTCAAAGTCTCAAACTTCTTTCATCATCATCCACAATTCAGATGATCAAGAAATGGGATTGGTTGGTTGGCGGGTGAAAATGACCCGAGAGTACTATCGAAGTTAGATAAACATTTGAGAAAAGAATATGGAGAAATTCAAATATCATAGGGTACGAAATAAGTGTAGTGGAAATTTTAAAACTTGTTATTAAAATGTAATCAAATCTTAAAAATTTCAAAAATTACAATTAAATCTTAAAACTTATCATGAAAGTGCAATTGAGTTCTAAAACTTTCAAAAAGTGCAAATAAGTACTAGAACTTGTTAATTTGATTAAATCAAGTCTTTCCGTATAAGTACTAGAAATTGTTAATTTGATTAAATCAAGTTTTTTCATTGATTGCACTTTTTGAAAGTTTTAGGACTCAATATAAATTAACATGACCATAATAATGACAACGCAAAAATTGCGATAAAATCTAGAAAATTTGGAACAAGCTAACGCTAATAGAAGAAGTTTTTAGCACTACAACGTAGTCTGCATAGGATACTGTACTTGGAATGGCAGCTTGTTTTAATCTTCTATTTTTTCTATTTTCTAATTTTCTTATAACTAGGACGATACTTGAAGGAGAAGTTAATCTTCTATGTACGATGGAATAAAGTGAAGGACCTTTTCATTTTTCACACTAATGATGATTCCTCCTCACATTGTGAAGCATCGACATGTGACTTTAAACCGACTATTAATCATCCATTAATGGAACGACCAAATTAGGGTATTTCTCTCCCCTCTTCATAGGCACCTTGTGTTAGTACACATATAGATACTCCTCCTGATATAAAAATTAAATATTCGTAACAAATACAAATCTATTCTTCTATTCATTGGATTCTTCTGCTTAGTATTGTCAAAATAGGTCGTAGACCCATTAATCGACTCAAATTTTTAGGAGCAAATTGTATATGAGTTGTTTAAACATTTGAACGAACAGCTGAAAGTGGGACTAAAAAATTAAAGTCCAATTAGATTGAACCTTGATGAGTTCTAGAGAACCCATTTTCGTCTTCGATTCCGATGGGCTTCCATCTAAAAGTAAACACAAAAATAGGAAAGGGTTATGAAAACATGAAATGATGGAACTATGGAGATCAGGAGAAGAAGTTCATGAGTGAATTTATGCAAAAAGAAGTCGGATTTGTAAATATGAGAATACTCAAACCTATGTTTGAATTATGGGAGAAAACTGTGAATTTATTCTCTAATTCTTTTTCATATCTAATTTCTTTTTAATTGGTTTTTTTGCGTATGTTATTGTCTATATTTAAAGGGAAAAATTGCTAAGAAATGTAGCACGGGTTGGATTGGATATGCGTGG